ATGCAAGGTGAGGGGAAGCTTTTAAAAATGGTTCAGTGACACAGCAGTGTTCCCTACCATATTATTTAGAACTGCTAATTAAACATAACTCATGGTCACCAGAAATTCCTGCCAACTATTTGCAGAGAGAACTACGAAATTCTCTTTGCTGTAAAAGCATGGGAAAGATCTCTTCAAACACTAATAAACATACACCTGCACAAGCAGAGTCCCACTTTCAAAAAACTTTCTTCTCACACCTGGCACTGCTGTTCCAAGAAAGGATTCTTTTACGCAGTGTGCAAGGAGCCAATCCACACATAGAGTTAATTGCTTTTGACATGTCTGCACAGAGATGGGTGTTGGATGGTAAATCTACAAAACCAGCACACCTGGTTACAGCCAAGAAGCATAATTATACTTTCAAAATACATAAGTATTCACTAATCTAATTTCTAAATAAATGTGTACATAATAGCTATTGGACAATCTTTTGCCTGCTTTGATTTAAAGGTACAGTGTATTTTAAGTTTATTGCAGATGTTCAGTGGGTAGCTGTCTTCACTTGGAGATGGGTAGCCTAAGCTGTAGAGGTATGGTTTTCACATTACAATGACTGAAATTCATCTAAAGTGCATGATTTCAGCTGATTTAGCCAATTTGAGTAAAACTTACAGTCCAGTGGTGAACACAGTACCTAGACTCTAATTTGAGATGCCTGTGCTATGGTAATCTCTTTACTTGTTTCAAAACTATTCTGCAAGACCTTGCAATTTCTCATTTTGTAGGATCACAGAATGTCCTGGGTTGGAAGGGACCTTAAAGATCATCTAGCTGCAATTCCATGCCATGGGCAGCAACACTTTTCACTAGGCCGGGTTGCTCTGAATCCCCAAAAATAAAATACAGAGATGTTTGCTTAAAATAAAAGAAATACGCAATACAGAGATGCTTTGACCCAGACTTACCTGAGTCTTTATAGTATTTATTGTTATCTCCTGTTTATTTTTATATTCTATTTATTGTTGTCTTTTATTTGAGTCACTCTGCAAAATAGTTTCTTAAACTATTCATCTTTCATCAGTATCAGTGTTACAGCCTTGAGAAAATACAATGTTGTGTCAGGAACACAAAAGAAATCTTTTGTCCCCCAAGTGAAAGCATATGTTATTTACCACAATCTTACAAAGAAGTTTCAGGTATTGGCTTTCAATCTAGCCCTAAAATTGATTTATAACATTTTAAAGAGATTGAAAATATCTAAGCCCACCTGAAACTCCGAGGAGACTGTTCACCCCTAAACTTAAAAAGCTAGTTCAAATCAGAGAGACTGCAGAACTTGGAGCCATTTCAAAAAATAATTATTTTCTAATTCTAAAGGAAATTATGTTTTAAATGTGGTGACAGAACAGTCACACTAATGCTTCCTTTACAGTTAAGACTGTTATGGTTCGTAAAGGCTGTATGCTAAGCTGGTGAAGTGGATATGCTTTTGTTTTATTTTTGCTACTGTTCCAAAGAACTGCAAAGACATTACTATCAAACATTAAAAGGGTAACAGCTAAAAAAACACACACCACAAACTAAACCCCAATGAGCTATCCTTGCAACATTTAGTAAAGTTGGGTATTCTAACATTTGACTTGACTTTTTTCCTATTATTTTGAAGCATCCCTAGTGACAGAATAGATTTGGCTACCTCTGGTATGGCACTTTTTCAGAGTTCAAGAATGAAATCACTCTAGCGGCACGTAATAAATTTTATCAAACATCAGTGTAAATCCAAAACACAGGCTTTTTCATAAATTATTTTTCAAGACAGATTTCATAGAATGTTTTTAAATGATGAATAAAGAATAATGACAAGACCGTAAACATATCTCCAAGTCATGGCAGTGATTTCCAAGTTTTTTTTTCTGACTTATTTCAGAACATTTCAGAGCAACAGTGCTGGAAATGCTTTAAACCTTTGCATGCCAATAAATCAAGAAGATGTAATCCTTCTACTGCAGATACAATGAAAAAAGTACTGCAGTGTTTGAATAAAAAGCACATCCATGGGCAAACAGTTTTCTAGAAATAATGACCTTATAGCTTATTTCCACAGGTTACATGGTTCCACCCCTTTTTTCGTTCTGCAGATTGGCTAACACATTCCAAGACACTGATGGACTGCAACACATTTCCTATAAAGAGAATATTTAAGTATGAAGCACATACTATTGGTGGTTGATAGTTAAATTAAAACACCAGAAAGTGCTGGGAAGGGAAAACAACGCTTTGCCAATCTTACAGACTTTTTGTCTTCAGGGTCCATTATAAGATCTCAGAACCAAATCCAGAATCAAATCTTCTAGCTTTATACACTGACTTAATGTACTACACCACATGGCAGTGACCCAAACCTTCTAGGAAACATGAGACTGTTATATTTTTGTTATCTCAGTTTGCTAAAATTATGTCTTTATCCATTATATAGTGCTGTTATGCCACGATATAAGTATGACAACCTCAACCTTCTTTAGGTGACTGTTATGAAAGGTAATCATCTTTCTTCTGAGTAAACTCAGTCTTTTCCTTATACAACTATATTGAAATTATCTACTATTATTTTGCATCTAAACTTTATTTTTAACAAGTTATATCAGTAAGTCACCACTACAGATCCCAAATCAATTTAGGTTTTAAGCAGAATTTTCTCCTTGTTTCCTTCAAGCTCAGTGGGTGGTTGGATTGCCATGGAAGTAAATTCCAGCTGAAACTTGCTACTATGGTGAGATCTCACTGCAGACATCACCTGTAGTGTGTAACAGGATAAATACCAAACCAAACCAAGAGACAAATTACCTTGCCTGTCACATGCTGCCAAGTGCTCAACATAGACATGTAAAATACTGCCTTCACAATTATTTTCAGCTTATTATAAAGTGTAACTTCTGAGTATTACTGCTATAAGTACTTTGCTGATTTGCCATGCAAAGAGGCATACGCAGTTATTACTCCAATGTAGATTAACATTTCCACAAGCTAGTCAGAAGCATAAAGTTACTCTCAAACACAAGACAGAACTACTTATGTTTTCTCAGTTCTTTTTGCTCACTGGCCTCTACTTTCCACATCCAACTACATAAAACCTTCTGCAACACTTTTAGCAGCCTCTGCTAACCTCCTTTCTCTCTTTTATTAAGGGCACTTTCTTTTCATATACAAGTTTAACTCTCTTGAACCTCAGTTTCCTGGGCTTCAAAGCATTGTCTCTTAAGGGATGAACAGAGCTTTGCCTATGTGTGAGTGGGTATCAGGTGCAATCAAACACATGTGATTCAACACAGGAAGGGGAATACCAGTTGCAGAAAGTGATATCAGAAGAAACAGAGAACCCCAGTCTAATAATATGTGGCTACATGGCTGGTGACACTGTCAAAATTTTGGGGTCTTTTTTGACAATGGGATGGCCTACATGGCATGATGCATATTGGCATCAGATAGGATCTACTTTCTAAAAGATGTAGGACAGTTAGGGGGATCCACTGATAGAGCTTTAAAGTAGACCTGAGACCTCCACAACACCCTTCTCTCTTAATTAAGCTATGGATTTGATGGGTGGACTGTTCAGTGGATAAGGAATTGGTTGGATGATCACATCCAGAGGGTAGTGGTCAATGGCTCAAAGTCCCAGTTGGCATCAGCGACAAGTGGTGCCCTCAGGGGTCTGTACTGGGACCAGGGTTACTTAATAGTTTCATTAATGACACAGACAGAGGCATCGAGTGCACCTGTTGCAAATCTGCAGATGACACCAAGCTGAGTGGTGCTGTTGACACTTCTGAAAGACAGAATGCCATCCAGAGGGACCTGGACCAGCTCAAGAAGGGGATTCTCATAAGGTTTAACAAGACTAAGTGCAAGGTGCTGCATCTGGGTTGGGGCAATCTCAGACTGGGAGGATACAGTGGGAGTAAAAGTCATCGACAGCAGACCTGCCAAGAAGGACTTGGGGGTGCTGGTGAAGGAAAGGCTGGACATGAGACAACAATGTGTGCCTGCAGCTCAGAAAGCCAGCTGTATCCTGGGCTGCATCAAAAGCAGCATGGGCAGGAGTGGGAGGGAGGGGATTCTGTCCCTCTATTCCAGTCTGGTGAGACCCCACCCAGAGTGCTGCATCCAGTTCTGAGGTCCCCAGCACAAGAAGGATGTGGCAAGATGAGAGCAGGGCCAGGAAGATGATTAGAGGGAGCACCTCTTCTATGAGGAAAGGCTGAGAGAGTTGTGGCTGGTCAGCCTGGGAAAGAGAAGGTTTAAAGATGACCTAACTGTGGCCTTCCAGTACCTGAAAGGAGTCTATGAGAAAGATGGAGAGGGACTTTCTACAAGGGCATGTAGTGACAGGACAAGTGGGAATGGCTTCAAACTGAAAGTAGGTTTAGATTAGGTATTAGGAATAAATTCCTCACTGTGAGGGTGGTGAACAGGTTATCCAGGGCAGTTGTGGATTCCCCATCCCTGGAATTGTTCAAGGCCAAGTTGGATGAGGTCCTGAGCAATCTGGTCTAGTGGAAGGTGTCCCTGTCTGTGGTGAGAGATTGGAGCGAGATGATCTTAAGGGTCCTTCCAGCCCAAACCATTTTATGATACCAAAGAACAGCATGTTCTGCACCACTTAATATGGGGCTGTTCTGCCCTTCTCTGCCATGTGACAGTTCTTGAGCTAGAGAAGTTTCCCTAAGTTAGCAAAAGACCAGAGAAAGAAAAACTGCACTGAGACAAGCCACAATTTGTATGCCAATTTCTTCACTGATCTGGAAACTCAAGTCCTAGGTATCATTTGAGCATGTTTCTTATGTATGTTTTTTAAAAGCTCTACAAACGTTTTAGTGTATTAACAGTGCAAAAATCTCTGCCTTCCAGATATTCTGTAATTGTGAAGTTTATATTATAAAAAAGACACAAGATCATTTATTGCCTAATTGAAAATATTACACACACACACACACACACACACACACACATTCTTAACTGACCTTGGAGGGATTGAATGGCATCCCTAAATATGAAGAGCCTCTGAATCCACAGCGATGCAAGTTTGATCCTGGAAAAGATTAAAACAACACTCAACTAACTTGTTTAGTTAAAACACTCATTATAAACCATAATCCTCTACTGATATCAAGACCCACTAGTCCAACACTATTCATAATATAACTAGAGTTTGCATGTGTCTCTCAGTTTTTGACCTTAGTTTGTTATCCATGATTAATTAAAAAAAAACAAAACAAAGAAAACTACAAGCAAACCTAATCCTGCTGTAATGACAAAGCATAAAGCACACATTTTTTTTTTAATTTGGTGAAAATATAGCCATTGGATCAGCAAAGAATTGTCTTCCATGCTCTCCAGAAAGAAAAAAAAAGGATTGCTCCCCTGGGAAAATGCCCAGAGTTAACATATTTTTTTATTCTTCCCTGGATTCCTGCCTGGTAATACCGTCTGTTCACAAACAGAACTGTCTTAAGATACTCTGCAACATGTTCAAGGGCAAACAAATTGCACTTGTAAGCACATTGTAGCTATCAAACATTTCTGTCAGTGATTCAGTATAATTTGTTTCAAATGTCTCACAATACCTGAGCATGTTGCATACAGAAGTGTGAACCACACACTGTGTAAAGTACAGGTTTGTGGGGCTCAACTGTGCTTTTGCATGGCAAAAACTCAATTGCTTACTGCTCAGTCTCTGAAAGTAAAAGCCTAATGAATGCTGTAGTTAAACAGCACCTGGGTGTTCTTGAATTTCTTAAATTCTCTCCCTCCCCCTTTTTTTTTTTTAATTCTTTAGCCTTTAATCTAAAAATCCTCATGGATATTAGGGAAAATTGCACCAGACTGAAAAAAAAATGAACAGTTATAAAGCTGAAAGTTCTAAAAAACTCACTGTATAATGTGGCCTACAAGTTCTTGTGTAATTTATCAGCATATTACCTTCTAATTCTAAATATGTTCTCCATATATGCAAAATTTAAACTGGGAAGTTTTTACTAGCCTAAGAACTTCAACTTGGCTAAAGTACGCAAGTTTCTCTACAAGACAAGTCTTTGGATCTAACTGAAATGGAGCAAAACACCTGCAACTCTCCACTTCCTCCACATGGAGTTCAATCAAAACTACTTTTTAATGACTCTACACATGCAATGAAAGCAACTTCAGCCTTCACTAAAAGCTGATATGGCATAGCCATACCCACAAAGAGGAAACAGAAACAGTATCTGTAATTGTGGACAAAAAAATTCATAACTGTTTTATTTTGTTATAATCTAAACATTTGCAGCAGAGAACATTTGTCTGGTTGCTTCCAGAGTCAAATACTTGAATTTCACGTTGCATCAGCCTTTGGAAAGCACAGTAAATTAAATTAAAGACTAATCCATGGTCCTGAAAGACACTGTCCAAAAAAAAGCCACAATTTCAAAAATGACACAATGTGAATGAATCAGTAAGAGAAGAACTAGAATTCCAGCCTCTTAAGTACCAAATTTCCCAGGCGACATTGTGGAAAAAAATCACCATTCACTTGACCCATTTTCAATAAAAAAGAATCTGTGTCTTAAGTGCTTAAGCAACCAAGAAAACTCACTTTGAAATGGTCCTAAAGTGGAAACCCTTCATCCAGAAAAGTTGCTAGCCTACTAGCACACAGCTGTTCTGGCCTGCTGCAAAGGAAGACACACTACAATTAAGACAGCTCTGCAGTCAAACAGAGCTCAGTTGCTAGCTGCTAGATGGAAGGATTCATCCTGGAAATACTGATTCCCATCCTTTTAGACTAGCTTATCATTAATTATCAAGATAGAAATGGCAGCATGAAACCCAAGTGTGTCTTTTAGCGTGTCACCCTGATTAGCTTCTGAATTCACAGCTATTATGAAAAGAGATTAAAAATGAAGTACATGAATGAAATCAGGATCCATTACTCCCTTTAGCTGTTCAATTTTCATATAGTATTTTAAAACCTTTCTTGTACTACTAAACTGCTATCAACTACAAAACAGCATCTGTAATTTTAAAATGGATTTTTAACTATATTGCTATCAATTTAAAATCTGATTTGACTCTTTTTGTCGGTACTTCTGATCCCTCATTCTAGACTTTACATACTGGCTCCTAGGAGAAACAGAAGACCAGCATGGCTCTTTAATGCTCTTACTACTAGAAGAGAAACTTTAAAGAGAATTTTATCCCCCCCTCCAATCCAGTAATGTGCATGTAATACATGCTACCTAGACCTTCAATATTACAAGAGAACTGCTGCATATCTGGTCACAATACATTAATTAAAAAATAGAATTGAGTTGATAAGGGAAGCATTAAAACAGGAATTGAAAACCACTCATTTTTAACCAGATGACTCTGGAACATTGATGTCATGTCTAGAAATTTTTTTTAGCATCCTGTGAAGACACAAGTTCAAAATCAAATGGGAACCAAAGAGGAGTCAGGGAAAACTGCTGTCTTTCAGCTTATGAAAGAAACTTTGTGACGTGAAACTTCACCTTCTGTGAAGATCGTTTTACTACACTGTTACAAAGTACTTGTACTTATTTTATGATAGCTTAGTAGTATTAGTCAAACAAATTGCCACAAATGCGCTGTCAGAATCAGAAGTAGAAATTAAATATACCCTAATTACAAGAGTGTGATCATAGTTTATGACCCTCGTAAAAAATTGCTGGGGTGACCAGCTCAGCTCCAGCACAGCTTGCTGAAGCTCAGTCCAACTGCAGCTATGAAATGGTACCACCTAGTGTCCACTTTCACCATCGACCTAACAACCACTTTCTGAAGGAGTTTAGGACAGAGCAAAAGAAATAAACATTTCATCAATTGCTGCATAATTATTGCAAGCTGAACATGACCCACCTGGAAAAACTTTCACATTTGACAACTAAAGAAAACTGACCCTTTTTCAAAACAAAAAGACTCCATACTTAAATCAACAGCTGAGACTTTCCTGTGAAAACCCTATTACTTATGTGTGCTTAGGCCAGAAAGTCCTTAAGAGAGGTAACAGAGCTTCAATGATGACCACAGACGATTTATCATAAGAGCTCTTTTTTTACGGACAGGACATTTTTGTTATTTGTGTTTTATGATTTCTCTTGCATGGAAGGATTAATAACTTTTACCACTACTTCTTCACATTTAGATTACCCATGCATTCCTCTGTCTGCAAGGCTTTTCTCATTTTGCCAAGTACAGAAACAAGCTTACACACATCAATAAAATCTTATTATATATATAAAAAAGTCACAGCTTTAACAAAGGCTGACCCCATCAGCACATCCAGATAAAAACACACTTAAGTTCTTCTTATTGAACTAGGGCTAAAGATGTAATCATTCCTGTAAATCCAAGCACTAGAGGATGTCATAAAATGCAAAGTTGCATTCTCTAAAATGGAAGTCCATTATACATCCAGATAAATATTTCAAATGTAGCCATTAAAAGAAAGTTATATTCGAAGAACATTCATATTTCTCCTCAAGAAACTTATGATCAAAAAGCACACAATGCAACAATAATTTCAAAAAACAGTCAATGGCATTTTATAAATTTTTTTTCAGTACTGACAACACAAGAAGAAATAATCATTATTACAAATCTAAACCTAGTCTTTGACAGAAGTAAGTTTTAGGTCTGTGACGTAGCATAACGGTTTTCAGTCTGCTGTGCATGGGTTCTGTGGGTTCAGTCCTATAAATAAAACGTGTCTCAGTGTTCTTTTTGGTTCCATTTCTTAGTACAGCAAAGCTAGTGAAGCATCCAGTCATCAAAAAGTACAATTTCCTTCCCTCTCTTCTAGTGGGCTGGCACTGGCACTCCCAGTCAACACAGCTCACCAACACAACACAAAGCTAACCTTCTGTTAGATAAATAAATACATGTTTTCCTGCCATTTCAGCAAGCTCTCAAGCAGGGTCAAACAAATGCCAGTGTTCCTATGTGGGAGGATGGTGGATGAATATGGCCAAGCAGTGTGCCTCCGCTGCCTGTAATTAGATTACTTGAGCACAAAGCTCTGGATTCACTCTCTTTTAAAAGTGCTGAACTGGCTTGCAAGAAAGTGGGATACATCTTTCTTAAATTGCTATGAGTTACACTTTAAGATAATTATAATAAATTCGAAATTCTGTCAAAGAGCTGTACTACGAGAGGGAAAACATTAAAACTCTGACATGATAAGGATCTTAAGAAAAGCAGCTAGGAGAAAGAGGGTCTTCTGTGAACCCTTTTCCAAAGTTTCACTAACATTTAAAAAAATACATCTTAGTCTAAATACATATAATTTCTGGTAAGGCTTGTAAAAGAGCACCACTTTCCTCAAAATGAAAAAAGAAAAAAGTACTTTTTCAAGATTCCCACTTCATGCAGTGAACACACAAACAAACCAAAAATATATATTAGCCACGCACCTAAGCAGAGCATTTCCTGCAGTGAAGGAAAGGTAACCATGGCCAAAATCTATGCAATATAAAGCCTAACTATTTAGCACGAGTTACAGAAGGCAGGGGCCCTTCAAACAAGCAGAAGGCAGCAATAAGTTGAAGCATTCAGCTAAGGATGTGTTTCTGTGTGAGAGTCAGTTTGCATACGTGACATGCCATTCCCTCCTAATTAAAACTAGTATTGAGCCACTCTCTGAAACAGTTGAGCTAAAATTATGGTACCTAAAGGACATTATTTGTTTGAATCACAGTTGCAATAAACCCACAGAAGAATACTATCCTGACAGACCTTGATCTTTATCTTCCTTTAGTGCATTTCAATTAGGCTGACAGAGCATACATTTGCTTTCTTACTCAGGTAGATCAAGATCTCACCACTTTGCATTAGTGAGCTTTAGTTTCACATAAAAATTTCAAAGACTACAAACCTCTGAAGCGAAGCTTTCTTCAGCCATAAGATACATTACACAGCAGTAAATACAAACATGTTACTTAAAACTACCACAGGATATTGGGAGACCCTATCTAAGAAGTGCTCTAAACCACTAAATTCTGAATTTTCTGTCAGGTTCTGTAATGACCCGCTGTGGTGGGTTGACCCTGACCAGCAGCTGAGCACCCACACAGCCACCCACTCACTTCCCCCTCCAGTGTCAGGGCAAGAAAACAGAGATAAGGGGAGAAAACACAGGGAGTGAGACAGAGACAGTCTGATAAATGAAGCAAAAGTTGTGGAGGGATTCATTCACTACTTCCCATCAGCCAGGCAGGTAAACAGCCACTTCCCAGAAAGCAGGGCCTCAGCAGGTGTAAGGGTTACTCAGGAAGACAAATGGCAGATCCACAAACATCGCCCCCTTTCTCCTTCTTTTCCCAAGCTTTTATTGCTGAAAATGATGCCAGATGGTGTGGAGTATCCCTCAGGTCAGTCCTCAGGTCAGTCCGGGTCAGCTGTCCTGGCTGTGTCCCCCAGCTGTATCTGCTGGGGGAAAAGGAGTGCAGAGGAGAAGAAAAGAGCCAGCCTTGACGTTGTGTAGGCACTATTCAGCAACAGCTAAAAGACTGCTGTTACCAACACTCTTTTAGTCCTAGGCCCAAAACACAGCAGCTTAGGGGCTACTATGAAAAACAGTAAATTCTATCCCAGCTAGTATACATACTACAACAGTTATTGATAAAAATGAACGGGTACTAAGTTTGTAAAGCATCAACTGTTCTGCCTCCCATCCATTGGAAAAATGACTGTAAGGCAGCAGTAGTTCTAAAAATAATTTGAATTAGCCATCTGAAAAAAAACGCTTTTAGCAAAAATCAACTGAAGTGCTATAGATAATTTGAAGAGAAAAGACAACGCAGAAAGAATCGTGCCTTGCAGAATATACCACCTAAGGAGTCTTTCTGCTGTACCTTTTGCAACCGGACCTGTCTATCTCGTATTGGCATTTTTAGCCACCAACGTGCCTGCAACAAATGTGGGTAGAGACCTTCCCAAATCTTCGTTTGCGAAGCCCAGCCATGATGCTATAGATAATGGAACCTTTGGAGGGACAAACGTGAAGAGCAGAGAAATTTATTTATTCTGAAAAGAATTACAGAAATTCTCTTTTTGCCCATTTTAGAAATTCAACCACTGACATGATCAAAAACAAATCCCAAGATTCTGTAAAAATATATTCCAATATAAAATGGAGGTTTTAAATTGGTTTTCAGTCCCAGAACCAAACTAAATAAAGACTTACATCAAATATGATACAATTACTTTAGATTGCTGGAATTTGTCATTGCAGAAACTGCATTAAAAAAAAGTGGTATAATTTAAATGTCTAAAACAAATATTCCACAGAAAGACAGATTTATCAGAATGAATGTTAAAAAAGCTGCAATAGTAAGTTTCTTTAAAAGCAAACTATTGTGGTTGCTTGTTTGTTTTTTTACCCAGAAGGATTCTGATTCATCTAGCAGGCACCCATCTCTAACTAGAGATGCACAAGCATTTTGAAACCAAAAACTTCATTGCTGTAGCCTACAGGAGTTTAGACACTTCTTCAAACAGGCCAAAAGAGGGAGTAAGAGCTCTCTTACTGGGAAGCTGCCAATTAACAAGCATTGCACACAACCAGGATTAAAAACCAGAAAGTCAAAACATTTTGTTGAAAGTAGACATTACAGAAGGGTAGACATTCTCTTCTTCACATTTAGTGATCCAATATTCTACTTTCTGCTGTTGGGATAATTTATATTTTACACTGTCTATTTTCTAGTAGATGAAGTAAAAACTAAATAAAAATAATGCTGAAGCTTTAGGGTCAAATGACCAAGATAAGAGTAGTGTTATTACCAAAAGCGTAAGAAGAACAAGAGTTATTACAATGTGATATGAAAATACAGGATTGGAGGGAAGCTTGTTCTTATGGTAAAAAGCAGAGATTTATTATTTAGAAAGCACAGAATGCACTGCCAAAAGTACCCTCCCCAAAACTACCCTCCTGTAGTTTTATGAAGAGAGGATAGCTAGAGAAAAAAGGAGCACATCTCTACTGCACCATGGACTGTCAGCCTCCACATCTGTGTGCTGAGATTTTTACTGCCCACTCCAGGAGGTTCTTGACAGTGGGAATATTCCAAACATTGGCCAGGTAGAACCCCCTGAAAAACTACTGCATACTATCAATGACAAACAAATAAAAATGCCCATTTTAATCTCTCTAATCTTGCAAACTTCCCTGATCTTTTGGAATACACTTCTGAAGGCTGGTATAAAAGTCAGAAAGTGAGGAACTCCTGAAAACAAAGCATATACACAGAGGAAAAAAAATTTAATGGTAAGGCATAGGCACCTCCTCATGATTAAAATGTTGCAGGAATAATTATGTGATCCAAATTCCTAATTTTCTAGAATTGGTCCTGGAATACAACAAAAGACAAAAGAAATCTATTAAAACTAATTCCTGGGGTGGATCCTGGAGTGATCTTTTTATTACTGCATAAAGAAAGCATCAGCTATCCTGACTTCCAAATGCTTACTTCATATATTTTTTTTTTATTTCACAAAACTGATTTTAGAGACCCTATATGTAGATTTTAGAGACCTGATTTGTAGTATATAATTAGACTAAATAATAGGAGAAAACACACAATTTTCTTTCTACATCCATCCAAAGTACATGTTCATGATTTTACAGACAGGCACATGGAATTACCTTTTCCCTAGAGAACCACCAGCCTGGAGCTATACCCACACCAGCATTTAACAGGCCTGTTGTAAAGCAGCAGCACCTCACCCACATCTCCCTCCCTCCCACCCACTCTACTGCTGGTCACCACTCACCTGCAGTGCCACAGAAGAAATTGCCAATACCACCTAGTCCACAGGAAGAGCACCTCCCTAACTTCTGTCAAGTCACCAGGAAACAGACATTTCCTGTGGGCTCCCTCTCCAGCTTGGATCTATTATGCACCTTCCAATCTGAGGATAGCTGGGATACAGCAACAGCATTATTCCCTCTAAAAACCTTGGGTAAATTCAACCTTCACAGATCTAAAGAAAACAGATTTTATTTTCTCAAGCAGGGACTGTGTTTATCCTTTTTGCTTCTTACCCTTACACCTCCAGTTTTCCAAAAGCTGTTCCAAATAACCACACCTGTGCTCAGAGTTCCTGGAATAGGAGTGGAATTCAATATAAACACCACTAGACTTGTAATAGTTACATAACATATGCATTTCTTTTAGAACCAAGTGAAACACTCCTCTGAGATGCCCAAAGATGCAACTTCATTATACTATTTTATACTGGCTTATCTTCAAATTAATTTCTGCTTTTTCTACCTTTATTATTTGTGAGGGATCTATTTCCAAGATTTGCTTGGCATCACTATCTGAAATTATCAGGACAGCACTTCAGGAAGGTCAATCTTGTATTTTATAAAAACTAGAGCCATCCACTATTCCCCAAGTAGAAAGCAAAAGTAAAGATGTTAATATCGATAAAAAAACTAAAAACTCACTCACTGTCTTCAGTGGGAAGGACCTGCAGGGAATAAATCCATTCTATTATATCATCTTTGTTCACCACATCTAAGGAATCCAACATATCCAGACCAGAGAGCGCGAAAAATGCAATTGTCAACCTAAAAGAAAAAGATAAGACTTACACTTCCCACCATAAATATCACGGGGAAATTAACAAAATGTTGCAGAAACAGATTCATCTATGAATTCTCAGCCTTTGAGAGTGGTGCAACCCAGAGACTAGCTCAGAAAACATGAAATGTATCTACTGGATAAAATAATGTCCTTTGTACTGTAGATATTTCTCTGTCTCAACAAGGTTTTTTATTTAAGTTGCCCCTTCTTTTATATAATAATGATATGCCAATTCAAAATTAACCTATGAGCCTGTTTACCTGAAAAAAATACCCAACAAAACAACTTACTACAAAGTAAACTAGGTTATGTTATTAATATATGGAGCACTAGTTCTCTGTGAAAAATTCTTACATGAATAATCCCCTAAATATGCATTAAGTGCATATGCAAGGTAACCCTTAACTATGGCAAGCTGCTTCTCATTGTGCCCCAAACCCAGTTTCAGACGTTTAGAATTCAAGTGTCAAACAGCAAAGCCTACTTTGTAAGCAAACAATGCAAAAATATGCACACAGGATGAATTAACATCTAGAGCTATTTATTTCTTGTCCTTGGGCATAAAACAACCTAGATGACTACCTTTTTTAAACATCTAAAATTGAATAACCAAATTCAAGTATTCAATAGAATAGTGGAGAAGCTAGGACACCAAAAGTCCTTCTTTCACACAATCTGTCTCCTTCCATAAACTTATCCTACCAAATCTGCTAACTAACACTTTTTTTGCAGGGTTTGTTTTTACCTCAAACCACTGCAGCCACCCAGCAAACAGCATGGCCTTTCAAGCAGCTGCACTGCTCACTCTGACAGAGCACCAAAGCCACACTACTCTCAGAGAGTTTGCTATGAGAGAAAACGCTCATGTAATGGTACCTTGGAAGCCCAAAGTTCTGACTCAGACTAAAATTAGCTAGATGTATACTTTTGCCACCCACACTTGTGTCTGGCTATCCTCCTAGAAATTCTTGCTCTCCTTTCACCAAATAAGATGAGGGATTGCGAAACAACCGGTACATATGCAGAAACTACAATTCAGCATGTCAAGGAAAACCAAAAGTTAATAGCAGCTTTCCTTAGCAGATCAAGTTGTAATTTGCATTTTCCTCACAAGGTGGTGAGTCACCTTGGCCACCAGCAGTAGGCACCTCTGAAGAAGAGGAGACAGATGTGGATAGGCACCTCTACAGCCACCTAATTTCTGCATGTGGTTCTGCATCAGAACTCCAAACAGTAAGACCAAGGAAAAAATGGTGATGTGAGTCAGCCCAAAACACAACTCCATAAGAATTATTCTAGTTAAAACACAGCAGCCAAATGACAACGAAGGAGACACTAATCTCAGCACAGTGGCATAACCTCCAAGTGACATTTCTACCAGTGGGCTGGTAAAAAATTTTTCTTTACAATTATTATTATTACAAATACATTTTTTGAGTAGAGAAAGCTAAAAAAAGTATGTTGCACAAAAAGGTACTTCTATGTAGAGCAAGAGTATCTTTTAACTCTTCTGATACAAAAAATTGTTTTTGAAAGTGGAAAATTAATGCTTCAAGGCTTTTATCAACTATTGCATTGATCAGATCTGTTTAACCCAAAATCTGACCCTGGATAATAAACCACTAATTCAAACAAAATCACTACTTTTATAAAAAAACTCCAAGGAATTTACTGTTCAGCTACAGGAAATTATTTATTTGAAACACTGCCTATATGTTCTGATTTTCATGAACACTGACAGTCTTCTACTAGAACTACTTAAAACACATTTTCACACTATTTTACTCAGCTGAGCTACTTCCAATAAGGCACAAACAACATGCCAACATCAGCACTAGAAACTGCTACAAAGTAGGTCCCAAACTACAAAGCTGTGCATACAATACAGAAAGTAAATCTCATCTATAGTTAAAAATATATGTCAAATATATGAATTTAAAAAGTGGTTTTACCTGGGCTGGGCTTCACTTTACTTATTTGGAGTTGATTGTCTCCAGCATTACTAAGGAACAGCCTGTGTCTGTTGGAATTTTCTTGTGGTGGGCAAGAAGATCTGGCACCATTGGACACAGAGAGGTCCCAATACAGCCACTTAGATACTGCATCCTTACTCCATAGACTATCCTACTTCACAGAAACTTCACAGACATATGTTCCTACAAAAATAACTCTTAGCAGCATCTTAGGCGACACATGCCATGGAGAGTAAGAACTTTATCTACAGTCATTTCCATAGAGGACGGTCAACAGGACATCTCTGACTACATATTCAGACCTCTTTATCTTCAGCCAGGAACAAAGACTACAGTTTCTCACCAGAGTTCAAAAAGCATTTGAAATGACTGATCTGAGAAACTGATTAGGTGTGCTACAAGGAGCACCATGAAGTACCACAATCTGAAGGACTTCAGAGACTAGGAGTTGACTTTCCTGCAAAACCTGACGGTACTGGCAATCCATGTATGAAACACTGTCAATCAGAACACTTAAAAAGCACTCTTGCTGCAACTACTGTTGCATGCAATAACTACAGACAAAAATAATTATGAAGGCTTTGAGCCAAAAAGTTGAGTAAAGAACATTAAATGAATTTTCTTTATTCTCCCTTATTATTTGACAATCTACAGCCTAAGTCAGAATGGACCAGCAGAGTGTGGAAAATTTCAGTCTCTACCACCCGTGTCTGGTGACAACAAATGCTGCACTGCAGTGAACAAAAAACATCTCACTGACAAATGATTTTATTTATTTATTTAACACATCTTTAATTTAATTGAGTTTCTCCTCTAATTCACAGTGGAACCATGCAAAGGCAGGAACAGGGGAAGCAAGAATAAAAAGGTTAAAAGCATTTCCTTCTGCAGCAGTATCAGCTCCAGAGGTTTGCTTAAGGTTTGCTGAATTCAGTGACCTTGACCTCGGCAAAAAGGCAAACTTAGTACCCTCGAGGTCACCCTGGGGATGATGCATTTATGGTTTAATCCCCCCTTTTGTCAACAGTCATGCATGCACACCTGCAGAACACTGATCTAAAAATCACTGTAAGAGAACCAAAAAAATCTGTAGCTGGGTAAAAACTTCACAACTACAAAAAACGCATGAATTTACATGGCCATGATTTTTATTCCAATTGAAAGCTTAGACTGTGTTCATTAACCAAAAATTAAAGCATCATGAAACAGTTTCAAATTGATGGTTCCAATTTGCAGAAAACAAGTGTTTTTCCAGTACTGTACAGCTATTATGTGCAACACACTAGGCACTGGTTATTCAAGGTACTGAGGCTACTATGACCACACATCAAATTAAAGCTCAGACATCTAATTAATTTCTCAAGAGTTCTCAAACAATCATTGTTACTATTATTCAGTAAGACTGCGGAAGACTTTTTGTAAACTGGAACTTCTGTTTCAGATCAGTGGCAAGCTGCAACAAGCTTGACAATGCAATCAGAGCCTCTCACTGATCTCACCTTCTGCACAACACAGGGTTTCAGATGAGATTCACAGGATCCGGACAAGCCAAGTCCTCAGTGGAGACTCCATCACTTCACTGGGCAAGCTGTTCATGGTTAACTGCTCCAATGGTGAAGAATATTATCCTACATCCACACAATTCTTTCTGAAGCACCTTATTCCCATGGTCTCCTGCCCTGTCATCATGGTCCCTTCTAAAGAGCACACCTCAATCTTTCTCTGTAGTTAGTTTCTCAGTAACAGAAGACTGTGATCAGATTCTTCCTCTTCTAGACCAAAGACATCCCATTTCTTTAGCATTTTCATATGTCAGTGGGCTAAGGTTAGCTATTTGTTATCATTCTAACACATCTCCATGTTATTGTACCTTTAAGGTCTAAAACCTGTTAAAAGTATAGGAGGCCTAGACTCTTGCTGTCATCTAAAATAACCGAGAAAGTACACTGAAATACCAAATAATTCTTAATGAATAAATTATTTGCAGCTCTGAAATAAAAAAATTCACAAAATTACAGAATGGCTGGGGTTGGAAGTGACCTCTGGAGACCACCTAGTAAAACCCTCTCTCTGCTAAAGTAGGTTCACCCAGAGCAAGTTGCACAGGATCATGTGCAGGCAAGTTTTGAATACCTCCAGGGAAAGAAACTCGACAACCCCTCTGGGTAGCCTATCCCAGTGATTGGTCACCCCCACAGTGAAGAAGTTTCTGCTCATATTCAGATGGACCTTCCTGTGTTTCCGATTGTGTTTGTGGCCCTTTGTCCTGCCACTGGGCACCACTGAAGAGTCTGGCTCAATCCTCTTGCTGCTCATCCTTAAGATATTTGAATGCATTGATAAGATCCTCTCTCAGTCGTCTCTTCTCAAGGCTGAACAGGCCCAGCTCCTTCAACCTTTCCACACATAACAAACGTTCCAGTTCCTTAATCATCTTTGTAGCCGTGTGCTAGCCCCTCTCCACAAACAACCTGGCACTACTTGTGCCAGTCCTTACACGGTTCTGCCAAGTGTTTGTGCTCTCAACTGAAATAAAGCTTAATTCAGCAGGACAACCCAATCAAAGCCATTGAACATTCTTCACAGAATGACTTGCAGAAGATGATACTGTGAAAAGAATCTGATGATTTTATTGGTTGAATAATATATCAAACCATCTGCATATCTCCACGTTTTTATCAGGTAAAGCTTGACAATCAAGTTATTGATCTTCTTATGCCTCAGATGTAACCAATTACCTTACTTGAAGACTTCAAGAACATGAAGTAAGTACATTCTCAAGTCATTACAGGGACAAATGTCCCTCTAATTCATAACATACTTCACTGGTATTTTATCTATTATACTAACAAATATAGACTTAAAATATTTCTCTTACATGAACAAGAATCTTATGCGTGTTGACCCAGAGCAACAAAAAGCTTAAGTAACTTATTTTAAAATGGCTTCCAGGGCGGATTAAGCAATGGACTGAAAACAGATTAAAAGGATCAACAAGTCTTCCCGCGGGGATATTGGGCAGTTTACGCGAGCAGAGACTACGCCCCTACATCAACCCGGTTTTTTTGGGAGCCTTCTGCCAGTGGCCGGATTTACAAGGACGCTTTTCCTTCCGGCCACGGCGGGGCTGCTCCCTGCCCACGGCCGCGGGAGGCCAGGCAGCCTCCGGCAGGCACTTCCCGTGGAGGCGCCCGCCCGGCGGGGAGGGGGTGAGGGCGGCATCCCGGGACGGGCGGGGGGCGCCGGGCGGACACGGCGGCGCGCCGCCCGAAGCACGAGAGCCCGTCCGCGCTGCTACCTGCTGGTCTCCAGGGACGATAGCGCTTCGGGCAGGATATCTGGAGGCAGCGCTGGAAAGAAGCGCACGTGCCGATTCCCGAGGAAGTCCAGCCGCCTCCGGCCCCCGCCGCACGCGCCGCCGCCATCTCCATCCCACCGCCGCTGCCCGCGCACGGCGCGCCCCCGGACCGCGTCACCGCGGGACCCGCCCCGGGGCGGGGAAAGGGAAGGGAACAGGGAAGGGGGAAGACGAAACAGGAGAACGGGGGAAGGGGCAAAGCGGAAAGGGAAAGGAAAGGGCGGGAGCCAGTGTGACGACCCCCCCCACCCCGAAGGGACTGTCCCAGGCAGCTGTGGGGAAACGTGCTTTTAATGCCAAGGGACATCACGCCCGGCCGGTCCCACAGGCGGCATTCCCAACCCGACACTCTCAAAATACAAAGGGAATACACGTCATGTGTCAAGCCAACTCTGTGCTGGCTCCCGAAAAGTGCTGCTGCTGCTTCCTCTTGCGGCAGGGACAGGCTGGGGCGCAGCTATAGCCCTCCTCTCCAGGCTGGGGCGCAGCTATAGCCCTCCTCTCCAGGCTGGGGCGCAGCTATAGCCCTCCTCTCCAGGCTGGGGCGCAGCTATAGCCCTCCTCTCCAGGCTGGGGCAGCCCTGACAACAAAGCAAAAAGGCATAAAGAGCTCGTACAGTAACTGCACCTCTGTCAGGCTACACGTCCAGGGCTCCCTCCTCACCTGTGAGTAACACGTAACAGTGGTTCTGAAGCTGCTGGTGCCATCTCCTTCCTACGTTCTTCCCAGCCCTCGGTAGCTTTGTGCAACTCGGATCGGTCTCTGGTTACCTGAATCTCGACCTCGGGATGAAACAAACAACCCCCCCAAAAATTGATTTTTTTCCTTGATCATACATTACACTCCTCGGGTCTTCATCACAGAAACAGGTGCAGAGTAAACATAACAGAGCTGGCTAGACAGAAGGAGACATTTCCCTCCATACTATCACAGGGAATGGGTGAAACATGAAATCAGTAAGAGGGGCAACAACTGCTTGCTGTCACTAAATTTTAGTAATTTTCCAGAAGCCAGTCTACTTATTTAACCAATAATAGAAAACCATTTCAAAAAATAAAAGCCAGCACCCATAATGCAGCATTCTATGACCTATAGGCTTTACCCAGGTAAATACTGCCATGAGATAAATAAATGCTCATCTTTCGTTTTGTTTTTAAACACAAGAACAACTATGCCTGCTGCATTTTTGTCTCCTGATAACAAGAATTACTTTATCAACCATTTAGATAATTAAAAACCATTGCTTTTTAGATCAATGAAAAAAAAATTGTTTAAACCACCATGCTGCATGCACCTCATATTACAACAAAAAAAAAGTTACCTTCTCGCTCAACTTTGCCAACTTTTTTTCTTTTTCTTTTTCCTCTATTTCTTTAGCTTGTTTCTGTAAAACCCTTAGCTCCAGTTTATGTAGATCCTGAAATATAATTAATGGAAAAGTAAACTTTTCTTTGGAAGTAAAACAAATGATATAAAGATATATATGTAGCCTTTTCACAGTTAATTATTTTTTGTTTTGAAATTATTGGCATAGTACAGGAAGTTTCACTAGGTAGCTACTTACTATAGCTTGTCCTGCACAAACAAATTATAGTTACGTGACTTTGAAAAAAAATGGAGTAGTTTAAACTCTTTTTATAGAACTCTAGTTTGAATGCTGACAGTAATATCAGTTCTCCAGTAGTGGCACTTATGCTGATATGGGATCTAATTTTACCTAACAGCTACTGAAAGCTGTGAGGATATTAAAATATCTCTTTTTATCTCATCTGCATCCAACACTCAGGTCCTCTGACGTTTTCTACAGCACAGAGGACAACACAGCCCAAGTACTTTTTCTCATTTTTACACCGAAGTAAATAAAACCACTTCTATATGTAGAAAGAAACACGGGCTTGAGTAATCTTGTAGAATTTAGATATTGAGGAAAAGGAACACCTGTGTCTAAAATCAAGTTTCATACTATTTTTTGTCTGCAATAGATGCTGTTTTCATAGTGAATCAATTATGTGTATGAAACTTGGATTTTAAAAATGTTTAACATGTATATAACATATGCATAAATGAAGATGTAATTACGCACACGCTCTTGAAACCTAGAAATTTTTTCTGCAGCAGTTTTCTTCCCTTCCTCCTTTTCAGCTTCCTCTCTCTTCTCAATGTCAAGCTTTTCAAGTTCCTCCTTTACTTTCTTCTGCAAGGTATTCCTTTCCAACAGTAACTTCACGTGGCATTGGCGCTCTTTTTCCTGCCTTTTCTCTCTCTCTTCTAGTTTCAGTTGTGACGCTTGTTCCATTGCAAATGCTATTGCTTTCTCTTTCTTCCATGCTTCCACTGCTGCTTGTTTTCTTTTTCTTTCTTCTTCTGCTTTTTGCTTCTGAGCTTCTTCATGCTGTCGCCATTTTTGCTTGAGCATTTCTTCTGATTTCTCTTTCTCCTTCAAGTTTCTTTCTTTTTCTTCCTGCTGCTTTTCTTTCCACTTCTTAATTGACTGCAAGAGACCGGCAGGAAAAAAATCCAAGGCTTTAATGAAAATTTACAGATTCATATTGATTCAGTCTGATGGAAACATACTGCAGATAGGAATTAGAAGTTTATTTAAGGCAAAACTTAAGGCAAAGAAGCACCTACATATGTTTTCTCACTTTTTTTTTTCTATTTTATGGATCACATGGGCAGGTTTAATAGATGTCTGCTAAACCTGTTTCAGTTACAGCAATTATAATAACTTTGAGTACTTATGAATGTTGGTGTAATATGCTTTTTCAATACAAACATATTTCAGTTCCTATTTTTCTCAAATTAACAATTCAACCTATTATTTCATAATAGTTTTTATGTCAGTGCATCCTTTACTACTCAGAGGGATAGTTTTTTAGAGAATCATAATTCTGTATGTCAGTCTGGTCTGGCATAGGTAGATTGTCTATAGAGAGGGACCAACATTCCTAGGGACAAATGTAATAGGAACTGTAATTTCAGATAGGATCACTTGCTGCACCGGGATTGGTATCTAACTTGCCAGACCACTACCACCAGAAGCATTTATAACATACTTTGCAAATACACAGCTCACTTCAGTGTGTTATTAGGTCTATGCTTATTGGTAATTAAAGACAAGTACTTTTGGCAAGTTGAGGATGCCAAAGACCTCAGTTATATACCAACAGAAATCCATCTAGCACTACCACCAGAGAGGCAGATACAAAAATAAGAAATGAATGTATTTTAAAAATAAGTACTTTTTCTTAAATCTCCAAAAGCCCTAAAGGGGTTATTTTACCTCTTTCTTTCTTTCATGTAAAATTAGAAATTCTTGATACCATTTGTCATGCTGTTCAATATCTTCTTTTGTTCTTCCACTGAGATACTGAAGGGCTTTATCCATGTAAGACAGCCTTCCTCTGTATTTAGTCCGTACTTTCAGAAAATTTTGATGATCATAATCATCCCAGCCTCCTTGCCGCCCTCCTGTTTGCTGAAGGAATCTTTCAAACTCTACTACTTCTTTGGGTAGACGATTTTCCAGTGTTTTATCAACTGTAACCCTGGCTGATGGTAATGTCAGAACTTTTTCTGTTGTTAAGCTGCCTAATGCCCACAGTTCCACTTTTCTCTCAAAGAGATTGAGCTCATTAATGGTAGCTTTTTCCTCTTTCAAAAGCTGTTCATATCTGAAAGTGACAAACACTGCAACGTAAGAAAAAAAATCCAGTATTCATTGTCCATTCACCAAAAATGAATTTTGGAATTGTTCAATGCCACACAAAAGCTATTCTTCAAAGATTAAGAACTGAAGTGGTAACAGCACAGTTGTAATGATCTGATAATAAAGCACTACACAATAAGAATTAAGTTACCCTTTTACTGAAAGCAGACACTTATGGCACTCATACAACTAACTCAATCCCCTCCTGACACCAGTAGAGAGGAAGGAAAATCCCCACAAACCCACTCAGAAAACAGAACAACAGTCATCAACAAAACCCCCACAATCTAATGTCTTCTGCAGCCTTTCTCTAAAAACCCTTTTCTCAGGCAAATGGTTGTTACATTGGAATGCTGGAATAGTCCGTCTGAAACAGAGTTTATCAGGATTCTAGCGTTATAGCTCGTGCTTTGATTTACGTACCACAGGAATCACTAGTAAAAGAGTAAATCTAAAGAGCAGTTTGCTGGACTAATGCAAAGTTTTCACTGCGTATTATGAAAGCACTTTTTTCTTGTAGTTGAAGCATGTATAAACATACATTTGCCTCTGTTCCTCTTTAAAAGCATTGATTGCGTTTTCAATTTCTTCCATCATTTCCTTGAGCTTGTCAACAACTAAAAGAGGAAAAGAAAAAAAAGCATATAACTTAAGAAGTCTACAGTATTTACCAGCACTTTCCAGAAATGCAGAGACTTTCAGGACACGTATTTCAGTGCACAAAAAAGCATGCATTTCCATCTCAAAGAGCCTTAAAAGACAGACTCTTATTTATTCAAAAAGTGTGTTTATGCAGTGACTTAGCTAACTAGATGCAAATCCCAGTATAAATGTTTATTTCCATTAAAGAAGTCTCATTTTGACTAACCCTCAACTGATTGTCTGAATAAGACAGCCTTATCCCTAAAGAGTTATGCTTTTGGTTTTTTATAAGTTTATAAACAGTTTATGCAGTTACTGACTTAAACACACTCAAATCTTTGGTTTATACCAGGCTGTAGCAATCCTATTTAGCCTGCAGGTCACTACTTTTACAAAGCTGACAAAAAACCATCAAAGTAAGACTGTCCTGTGCTCTCAGCATGCTGTAGTCCTGACTTAGAGAAAGAAGGTAAGACAGTTTTCCAGAGAAGATTGCTTTTCTAATGGTAGAAAAAAGTTTTAGAATCTGTTTTAAACCAGCATAAATCTCTGTGGATACATACTGAACACATAGTTTAACTAACCTGGGTTTTGGTAAACTTATATAATCTAAAACTCTTATTTCAGCTTTCATGCCTTGCTAGTTCTTGGTATCTTCACTGACATCTTAAGAAGATAATAATTTTTTTTTTGTAGATAAACACT